AGTTTAGGAAATGAGGGTTTCTGAGAAGTCTAAGATCAAGGCTCTTCAGGGCATCCCTAGAATATGAAATCCTTTTGATCAGGATCTGTATCTTATACACCCTTCCAGGTGTTCAACACAGTTACTGGAGTAAAAAATGAATGAACATAGGTCTTATGTTGAATACTAGAATTATAATGTCTGGCTCATTCTTATGACTTATGGAGAATAAACAATACAGAATCTGATGAGCCTCTGAGAATCCTGCCATAATAGGTCATTTATATCCAGGAGCTGTGATCTGAATGTTCCTGTCCACCCCAACTCTACATGATAAAATCCCAAAGCATCTTACCTAAGATGATGATATTAGGAGGTGGGACCTTTGGCAGACTGATTAGGTGATGAGGCTGTCAGAACCCTCATAAATGGGTTTAGGGCCCTTATAAAAGAGACCTAACTGAGCTTGTTCACATTTCCACCATGTGAGGACCCAGTGAGAAGGTGCTACTTTATAATCCAGGAAGTCCCTTACCAGACACTGAATCTTTAGCACCTTGATCTTAGACTTCCCAGGCTCCAGAACTTTGAGAAATAAATCTCTTATTTTTTATAAGCCATTTGGTTTATTGGATTTATTACAAAAGCCTGAATAGACTAAGATATCAGGTTAATTATTTACGGGAAACTCGGTGGACCCCCACACATCTTCAATGTTTACACATCACATATCTCTGTATCTCTCTGAAGCACTGGGCTGCCAAAGGGATATCTCAGAGGTCATGTGGATACAAACCTCCCAGGCACAGCAGAGGGGCAAAGGAAGGCAACAAGCATGTTGTGCTCCCCAACCCTGCTGCATGTGCCATGAACTGTGCCTGGAGAGGTAGAAAATAGAGGATTTACTTCTCAAATCAGCACTGCCCTTGGTCTTCTTGAGAGGACCCCAATAAGTAAAATTTAAGAAATTGATCTTTATTCAGATTATGGGAATCACAGAAGCAAAAGAGCTTTGAGGAATAGATCAGACCAAGTAAAATGAGTTGTCTCAAAGGAATTACAGAAAGATTACAGAGAAAGTAGTTAAAAAGAAAGACAAGTCAAGAAAAACCTGAATTAGTGAAACAAAGACAAATCTACAGGACCCGAAACCAGGGAGCTCAAAATGAGATGACCACTATGACAGGAACCTTTGCAAACAAACCAAGAACAGACTTGCTTCTCTGTTTTTGGTTTCCTGCCCAGCTCACTGGGAGCTTGCTGAGGGAGATTGAAAGCCTTTATTTTTCCCATTTCTCTGCTTCCACCACCTCTCCACTTCCTTACAATTGTCTAGCTCATTTTCCATAGAGCAGCCTAAGTAATCTTTTAAAATGTAACTCTGACCATGTCTCTCTCCTCTTCAAAAGCCCATCTATATCTTGGGCCTATTGGTATAGCTCAGTGCTTTAGCATGTGCCTAAAATGTGCCAGGTCCTGGGTGTGAACCCCAGCAACTATCCCCCCCCCAAAAAAACCAAATTAAAACCCCAAGTAAAATCCAGCATGCTTTTTATCTACAAGGCCCTGCATGGTGTAGCTGCCAGCTAACTTCTAGCACTCATCTTAACTTGTTTCCCTCCAGTCCAGCCACGATGACCTTTAAGGTGTTCCTTAAGCCTGCCAAGCTGGCAGCCGGCTCCAGCCTGGGGACTTGTTGTTCCGTCCATTTGGAAGATCTTCCCTCTAGAATCATAGCTTGTTCCTTCCCTTCACTCAAAGTCCTGCTCCAGTGTCACTCCAGCAAGGACAGCACCCTCACTTGACATAGCACCCATCTATCACCTCAAAGCCCTTTGTGCTACATTTCCTTACTTATCTATGTTTCCCTTAGTATATTTATCGATTTCATTCTATCTGTGTATATACATACATGCATATGCCTGTATGGTTCTTTTTGTGTGTGTGTGTGTGTGTGTGTGTGTGTGTGTGTGTGTGTGAAATTTACATGAAGAGCAAGGACTTGCTTTACTTTGTTCACTCTTCTATCATAAATGCTCACAAGACATTTGTCAGGTCAGACACTTGGAGGATCTAGAGCTCAACTTGGCTCTGCTGCTAACCTTGCACACGGCTATGGTGGATTTTGCCAACTTCTCCTCCTCAACGATTTCATGTCCCCAGAACTTCACTCTGAGACATTGCTAGTTAAGGTTTTATGAGACAAATCAAGACCAAAAAAAAAAAAAAAGGCTGGAATCATAAACAATATAAGTCAATCGCTGGCTATGGAGTGAAATGTCTGGATATTTGGCCCCATGTAAAGAGACACTGTGGTCACCAGGTACATGTAGGGGCACATCTTGTTATTGTTTACTTAATTTATAAGCTCATAAGACATCTCTATTCAGAGGCTGGGCCTAAAAGGATTATGGTAAATCAAGAGGATAAAATACTTGATCTGTTTATCAACACTTGTTTCCACAGTTTCAAACAAGATTTTTGTTGATATTAAGTTCGGAGATTAGAGGTGAACAGCACTGATGCTTTCAAAAAGCCCCCACAGTCAGAGAGACACACTGCTCCTGATTTTAAGGGATTTGTGCTCCTCTTCAAGTAGCCAACTCCACCTAAACAACAGGTATGCCTGTGTCTTTCTAAAACATAATGGGGTTTATCATCTTAGAATGTTGTATTCATAGATCTGATGTGATACAAATGCATTTTTCCTTTGCATGATGATAAAACATGAAGGTGGGTGGAAGAGAATTAATATTTACAGAATGAGTATTTGGTCTGGAGATAAAATTTGAGAATCACAGAAATATAAAAACAGCAGAGTTGGGGTCACTCTGGAAAAGACAGCAAAGACAGAAGGTGATTCAGGAACCTCGCTGTAAGGAACAAGCTAATATTAATGGACAAAAATGTACCAGGGGCTTCAAAAGGAGGAGGAGCCAGGGAGAAAACTGGGAGTGAGTGACATTCTGGAAAGCCAAAGAAAGAGAGCATTAAAAGAACAAAGGAGTGACCATTGGTGCCATGCTGCTGAGAGCTGAAGACTTAAAACCATCCTACAGATTCAGCAAAGCTCAGGTCACTCACAGGCTTCACATCCAATGTGAAGCAGACAGTGGTGGAATTCAAACTGGATCGGGCAAAGGTGCAGAAAGTGAGGAAATAGGGATCAAGGGTATAGGCAGTGTTTTAGAGAAACTGAACTCTGAAGGGGAGAAATACAGGCAGTAGCTGGATGTAACTGTATGCTCTGATGTGGAAAGTTAGGATTTAAATCCAGTTTTGACTCCTGGGCTAAATTATATAAGTAATTTTCTGGACTATGCTACGTTGTTTTTTAAGAGCTTGCATGTGAGTCCATAAAGTTTTCCTTCTTTTCTATTTTCAGTAAAAAGTTCCCAAATGAAGTTCATTCATAGAAGAAAGTTATGGAAGTTGTATTTCATTGCAAATCTACCTCCAGTTTAGGCTTGTATGGAGCATTAAAAATCTTCATATATCAACAGTCCTCGGATTTGCTTACATCTTCAAATGAGATAAATAGGTCAAAATTATTGTGATTCAATGAGTGCACAAACTGAGTCATTAAGATCTCAATGGGAGAAATGGCAAAAGAACCAAAAATTCTAATTCCCAACCAATTGCTTTTGGTATTCCTCCTACTTTTCATTAAAAGGTAGGAAAATTATGAATGACTGATAACCTTGCAATGGCTACCACCAAACCTCCTCCTCTATTATTAGCTGTAAGAACAGAATTCACTGTCATCATCATCATAACTGAGTTTGTAAAGCCTTGTCAAATATATTACTTCACAAAATTAAAAGTAAATTTTCACAGGCATTTTGGACTGATTTTCCAATACTATGTCACAAGGATGTATTTTGCAGCTGTTAGTTCAGATCTCTGAGCTCCAAATCTAGCATTCTTTTCTGTGCTGGGTCCCCTCAAGAATGTGCTAAGCTATGGGGCCCTTTTACATCAAGTCAAGTACAAAAATGTAATAAAAAAACTTGGTGCATAATTGTACGGGGTCTACTGATGATTTGAAATTAGGAATTCCTGTTTGAAGTTATGCCATTACTCCAACAACTAAACTGCTAGTTAATGAGGGAAAATAGCAGGATGTGACATAAACGCCCTGCATGGTCATGGCATTGCATTTAGAGATTTCCATTAGCACCCTGCCTGTCATCTCATGTGCCATGCAATGCATTCCACTCCATGTGGGTGTGTGCCTCTTAGGGGACTACAGCAACCCAGCAATAACTTCTACCACTACAACTGTCAGTGAACACCCGTTACAGCTTGACAATGGCTGCTACGTGCCAGCCACTGTTACAACTCATTCAATTCTCTCAATAAATATATAAGATGTTTACTATTATTTCCTTTACATGGAGGTGTCAAGGCACTAAGAAGTTATCAGGGCCATAGCACTAGGAAGGGGTACAGGTGACACGGGTGATTTGTCTTTCCTTCCCATTCCAACCCAACCCAACTTCAATAACCCAACTCAATTAGATTGTGATTTGATCTTTTATTTCTTTTGTACAGCTATAAAGACATATTTTCTTTTATCTCCTTTTTACATGAAAATGAGTACATGTAAACACTTTTAAGCTAAGCCTTACTTAATAGAAACTGCTCTATATCAGATTTTGTCAGTTGTACAAAGAGACATGCTTAAAGCAATCAAATAGATTGCAGGGTCACATTCCTGAGCAGGGGTAAAGCTGGCATGTGAACTTCAACCCCCAAATCCATGCCCCTTCACTGCATCAGAGGTTCTCATCCATAGACTGGATATTCTTAAGGGATCCCTAGGCTATTTGAATTTTCTTGAGTCATTCTAAAAATTAGTGCATGTATGTTCTGGACCATTTAGTTGGCATATTACAATCAATCAAGGACTGGCAGGGATTTTCTTTGTGCCTAGGACCTAAAAATCATGCAGCTGCCCAAAGTGAATGCCTTCCATACCATCACAGAAGGAAAGTCACAGAGAAAGACAAAGCAGTTACCTGGTGGTGGCCTTGGCTTGTAGTTCTGGGAAGGCAGCGTGCCCCTGCACCACGTGGTCTATCTAAAAGACAAAAAGAGTGGGGCCAGTGTCACAGCTTTTTGAATCTGCATTTAAACAGAAAAAGATATGTAATCCGTTTTTCTTTATCTCTTCTTTTATAGAGAATCCAGGAACATATTTAAAGTGCTTGTTCTGCAAGAGTCTCAGTTGTATCAGAAACCTAGATTTACTTAGCCTAGTGCCAGCCTCCTGGATTTAGAAAATAAAGAACTGGATTGTTAAACAAGTTTAGAGAGAAATGTAGCAACTCTCTAGCTAAACTGGTAGCAGCAGGCAAGATCAGGTCTGACAATGAGAGAGAGGGAAGGAAAATTCACGTTAAGCGGTGTGTCTCTGGATCACATCACTCCCCTCCCGATCCAGGCTGTCACCCCAAGGTTATGTCAAACTTTGAATGCTTATGCCCTGTGATCAAGAAGGGGGCAGCTCTGATTGAGGAAAGGAGGAAGTTATGATGAAGGAGTCACAGTTAAACAAAACCGAGCTCCTCCGGATATGTTGAAAGAAATTCCCTAGACCGAGAAGTTGTCACAGGAGAAAGCAGGACAGCTCTCCAAGGACAGAAACATCTGTGCTGTGCACAGGCCCTCTACTTGTCTGGAGTCCCAAGTCTAAGGTTGCATTGCTAATCTTTGTGGTGGCCCTAAATGAAACAGTATGTACTGTGCATGGGGAACACACTGCCTCCCGTGCCTTACTCCGCGGGCTGGTGCCCAGCCAACACTGTGCCGGAGCCCCCAAACCTAATCTCTGTATTTCTGAATGTTTACTTGAGTCTCTAGGACTCTAAAACAACCATTTGGAGGGGTTTGTTTTCATTCAAACTATGAGCAGAGGGGTTATTTTGGCCACATGGGGATAAAGAGCAAGAAAATTTGTTCTGTAGTCGCGGAGACCAGGCTTGGGCTCTGGCTCTGATTCTCACTAGGCAGGATGACTTTGAGAAAGTCACTAAATTGCTCTGAACTGCCATAGCCTCCTTACCCATCATCCTCCTTTTAAAACAGGATTGCTAGGAAGTAAAGCATGCCTACTATGATGCAGCAGTAGATAATATAAAGTGTAACAGTGTAAATAATATAGTTTCTATGTGCTACACCAGCACTAAAATAAGTATTATGTACACATTATTCCATTTATTATTTACAGAATACCCATGGAGAAGGTACTATTCTTCACTATGGAGAGGAGAAAACTGGGATTAAAGCAGATTAAATAACTTGTTCAAGGTCACAGGGAGTAGTGACAGTTCTCAGACTTAAATTTCTCTTTACCTAAAGTCCTTGTTCTTAGCTATATGCCAAATCATCTACTAAACTCCCCATAAGTTGTTAAATGCTATTGGCAGAGCTTCATGAAAAATGTTTCAAAGTAACACGAAAGCCATTGGTCCTTTTAGTAAGAAATTCAAGCAAATTTGAGCATGTGTTTCCAGTAGGTTTGATTGTGGGTTACAATATGACAAAGCATATTCTGGAGCCTCAGAGAGTTTGCAATCTAGCAGTAGCATCAGGATGAAGCCACTTGGATAACTAATGGAGAGTCAAAGGCATTGCTTGTGCCTTTTTTAACAGTTCAGAGAAAGGAGACCTAAGTAAGCTCCAAGGAGAACATGAGTGGCACATGCGTGAATGCAGACGTTCAGTATTTACTGACAGTCTAATGTGTGGGTACTGTGTGTAGGCTCTGGGAACATAGTGAAAAGAAACATATAAAACATGTTACACATGTAAGGGATCATTATCTGGCAGTCACTGTAAGATGGGAACATAGTTGTGAAGAGTAAGATATTGGCACACCATGGGTGCCCAACATATATTTGGAATGAATGTGGGATGAATGCGCCTTGGTGCAGGCAAACCATCACTCAGCACTCATAGTTCTTTGTGCTACTTTCCACCCATTTCATTGCTATCTGTTTGCATTGGGAATACACTGGTCACAGGGTAAGTCTATGTTAGATCAGAGAATAAGTAAAGTGGCAGAAATATAGATGAATTAGGAGGGTGGGGACTGACAGTGCGTCTTGAAAGTAGGCAAGCGTTTATACTTTTGGATTGGAGGCAACAGGAAATTATTTTAATTTTGGGAGTAAAATGATAGAAAGTGAAGGAAAATTAATCTGGCAGGGTACGTAGGGCCGAGCAAAGACCAGACACAGTGAGCAGCAAAGGCAGGAAAGGAGCAGAGTCTGACAGTGGGAGTCAAAGGCACATATTTTTCCTGTCCTCACCCTACTGTAATGAGCATCAAATACTTTCATGATCAGTAATTCAAGGGTCTGCCTCTTATCCTACACTCTGGGCTCTTTGTGTTTGGGAGAATAAGACCCCAAATGGTTAGCGGTACTTTTTGTTTTCTGGAGTGTCTGGTGGTAAAGGGGTCCCAGTATTAACAATGGGTTACTTGTCAAAGCTCATTTCAACAACAGGAACTGTGCATTGCTAGGGTTCTCCTTAGAGCTCACGTTCTAATCTGCAACATACTCGGCACAAGATTGAAGAACATGGTGCCTGCTTAGAGGCTGTTTCCCAGTTAAATAGCCAGAGTCACAATGCTGACTGTCTCTGCCAAGAGGATGCCACAGAAATGCAAACAGAACCAGTTCAACTCTGACTATTTTCTTGTTCCCACAACCTCTCAGATTTCAGCCTGAGAACAGGTAGCTGCTGACAGGAGGCAAGGCTAAATGCTGCTGGGGTAGGAGGAGAGCTTGAGTTGGAGCTGGTTGGTTTCCAGGTCTACATGAAGATGAGGAAGTTACCTTACAGGAGATCATTTGAGGCTTTAGGACCTGAAGGTGGCAAGTGCATTGGGAATGTGAGGAAATAGCAGTTATCACAGAAGAAAGCACAGATCATGACTGGGTAGTGCAGGGTGCCACCTGTCCTGCAGATCTATTTTACTGGAATACATCATGCTTAACAAACAATCCAAAATGTTAAATCCTTGAAATCTAGATTCTGTTCTCTTTAAGAATTTTAGAGTATACAACACTGGGCTGCCTCTATGTCCCTGCCATAGCAAGTGCTCCAGCCCTCCCAGAGGCTCATGTGCTCCAGGTGTGAAAAGCCTTAGCACACCCTGCCATTCCCTAAGGACAGACACCAGGTTTTATCAATTTGCCATTACCATTACGGTGTTTTACTCATAACAGAAATCTACTTCTCTGTGCCATTTCTTTGTCAACAGAGGGATTAAGGAATCAGGTCCTAGATTGCTGTGAGATGCAAGAGAAACTTTCTGTGGAACTGAGAAGTATTCCTTACACTTGCTTTCTGACTCCTTTAGAAATCTGAGTTTCGACCTTTCCTGTGGCAGAGAGAAAACAGGACAAGGAATCAGGAGATCAGAGATCGACTGTGGCTCAGGGTGTGACCTTGGGTAGGGTGGTGTATGATTCTTTCTGAAGCACTTAATAAATTAGGGTGACAAAGAGCCAAGTGTATGTAAAAGTACAAAGAGCTGCACTGCCTAAGATATCAGTGCTGTTGGCAAGGAGTTCACAGGCAAAGAAGATACAACAAATGCAAATCTAGAATTTATTTTAAGAAACTTACATTCAATGGTCACTTAGCTAAAGCAAAATGATCTTATTGCATGATGGGTTTTCTTTCCAATTAAAGTCAGTTTTATTTACTAGTCTTAAAGTTGCTGCTCACTCTCCCTTGCTGGTAAAGAAATCCTTAGGTTCAGAGAAATGTTAACGATGTTGATGATTTTTTGCAATTGCTTTGTTACCATTTAAATTAACCTGTAATGTCACCTTTTTTTCTAAAATCTAAGCCATCTTTAAACTCTTTACTTATGTGGTATCATGTGGAAGCAAAAAATGTTTGCTTGATTTTTATCTTGAAAATCTCATGAAAATTTAAAGAAAGAGGAAAGCACAACATGGACTCTTTTTTCTATGTTTCTGGACAAAGATTGTGGATTTCAACAATGAACAATCTCTAAGATCAAGAAACACTCCGGAAAGACAGTATAAACTCTGTTTTCCTTGTCACAACTTCATATTAGTTTGACCTAGAGCAACTTCATTTGTAAATGGATAAATTCTAATTTAAAACCTACCACAGTCAGTATCATTCACCATCAAAGTTGGTTACTTTGTGTATTTTTGTTAATTAGTTCATTTATTCATGAAACTAACATGATATACAATTACCTTATAATATGAATCATTGTAAATACTAAAGATACAAAGATAAATAAAAATAAAGCTCTACCTACAAAAGGAAAATAGCTGTGCCAATATTTAAGTACAGTTGAGACTACTAAGATTCTTTAACAAGTGTTAATTGAGCATCTATTCTGTTTCAGAAAAGGAAATAAGCACAGGGGATTCATTAGCAATTTAGATAGGCTGAATTTGTGTTTCCATTGAGATTATATGAATTAAAATACAAAGAGTAAAAAAAAAAGTATAGTTATATAAGAAATATAATGGGAGGTAGTGATTGGTGCTTTGAAGGAAATGAAAAGTTACTATGGGAAGGACACTAATTTTGCAAGGAAGGGTTATGAAAGAGCAATCTGGAGATTAAATCTAAGGTAAGACATAAAAAAAGAATAAAGTTTCAACATTTTATAAGTAAAGAGAAAAGTAGATGTGAAGGCTCTGTAGAGGGAAAGAGCATCCCAGGTCCTAGGAATTGATGAGAGTCCAGTGAAATGAGGCAGAAACAAGCAATGAAGAAAGTTGCATAAAGTGAGGGTGGAGAGGCAGGAAGTGGCCACAATCAGGGCTTTAGATTCTTTTAGAAGGAAAATGGTGAGACACAGAAGTATTCCAATCAGGAGAAGAATGAAATCTCATTTATTAAAAAAATTCAGGAGCTCCATTTCTGATAATGACTGAACATTTCTCCCATACATGACAGTTACAAATGCTGGTCAAAATACATCCAACTGGCCCAAGCTAGGTGGAAACAGAGAAGATTCATGACACAAAAGTGAAAAAGTAATGCTGCCTGTGTTTGCTGATTCTACAAATTTTT